CTTATTGTAGTGACTGGTTTCAAGAACTAGATACGAAACGAGGTCAATCGACTCGGTGGGAGGAAGACATTCGGCATAGTATTTTTGGCATGAAATTAGAAAAGGATCGACTCCAATGCACGCTATTTTCTGCATGTACCTTTTCTTAACAAGAGGATCAAGTGTATTTGCACATTCAGACAATTGGGGAGCGTCATCTTTCTCCTTAGACATCTTTTATAATGTAAATGACCGTAGATCCAAGAGACTTTATAAGCCGCGAAGGGACACCAACATGGCGGCGGGAGTTTTCGCGGGAAAATTTTGAACTTTGTGACGTCACGTGAAAACACTCTATAGATACAGTGTAGGTTCATTCATTATTGTTATCAGGAGCCCATAAGATGGAGTAAGCAACTCCCTTGTGCTCATGCAATGACATTTTCATGACCAGTATATTTTTAGATCGATTTCCCTGCGAATTTTGAACATCAAATAAGTCTCACAAATCAGTCAACAAAAATCAGACTAAAAAAAGTACAGTATTTTTGGTGTTTTGATAGCATTTTGAAATTTTACTTCTTCTTTGACTTTTTGTAATAATTGTCATGCTAAAAAATGATGCTATATAAAAATGACTTGATCTGTGAAAAAGCTGTTGCATAGGCTAAGTATGGGCATAGCACGCTCCCACAGGTTATTGGCTTTAGCTGTTGCCCTTGTGGAATTTGCATGTGAGAAGCTGATTGTGGTAGGATGTAGAGAATCAGTTTAACATTGATAATTTGAGGAATCAAGCACATTTACTTTGATAGTTACCTCTTCCATTTGTTCGTGCAATTCAGCACATTGAGACCTGCATTCCTGCAAGATGAAAAAAAAGGTTGATGTATTTAAGCACGCCAGATATACTGTCTGGCAAAGGAATTATTGAAGTTCTTCTTTTTGCATATAAAAGAAAACTTTCCGTTTTTGGTTAAAGTGGCTACTGTACTGGTTACTGAACTGATGTTTCATCTACAAATTAATTTTTTTTAATGTGTCATTCTGCTAATTTCTGGTCACCTTCTGGTCAACAAGACAAAAAAAAACCTGATCAAAACATTGTTTACTATTAAAGTATTATGTCAGTGTTTGAGCCAGGTGCTAAATTAAGGTGGCTGAATGCAGTTTTAGCAGTTTGTGAGTATATGTCATTTGCCAAATCACGGCAAGAGAAAGGTTGCAGCTCACAAGCTGAAACTTGGCAAGTGAAAAATACACTGATGTAAGATTTCGATTAACAGGTAAAATCTGACGTTTTCGTATTTTCCATGGCAACATTTGCTCATTAGATTTTCCTATAAACTTGCACACAGCTTACTATAATTAATCATTACCATTTGAAACTTATTTGACCAAATTTTAACAGCCTGATTTTTTGATAATCAATAATATAATATTGCACTGTACTGTAAATAATATTAAATGTGTCACAAAATTTGTCTGTTTAACTTCCATTTTAAAGTTCTCATTATTTAAAAAGCAAAAATTCTGCCAAATATCACAAAATGTTAATGAGTAGATTTTGAGAAATCATCTTCTGCGTACCATTGCTTTTTCACCGCCATGTTTGTTGGTCTAATTTAAAACATGCGCCATCAGGCAAATTACCACTGACCGCCCGCAAAACTGTGTTCAGCCAACTTAAAGAGGGTGCCGAGATAGAAACAAATGTGAGAATTTTTTTTGAAAAGCTCAACTGGTTAAAGAATTATTAAGCCTTGATTTTTTAATTTTCCGCCATTTTTGTTACTATTTTTAGAAACAAAAGCACATTTCAAAATGCTATATCTCCTACAGTAATTGAGTTTTTTTTTAAAAAAAATTTCACATTTGCTTCTATCTCGTCACCCTCATTCAAAATCACCTATTTGTAACGCCATTAGTTAAAATTTCAATTTTGCCATCAATCTGATCTTTTGACGTCATTTTCCCAACAAAAACCATTAAAATCAAAAGGCAAAAAACATATGATTGTTAGTGGTGTAACAATTAATCGAATTCTCAATAAATCACAATTATGACCATTCAGTTCAATTTAATTCACCAATCTTTGCTTCCACGTACACTTTGATTTTGGTTCTTACTTTTGCACACCTTTTCCAGGGTGCCCTTAGTGAGTTATTACATTGCAAAATCAGAATCCAGAACTCTTTAAAATGTACGTTTTTGATTGATGAACAAAGACGATACCAGTTCGTGCGCCATTTTGTGTTGCCTGGTAAAAATGCTGTCCTTCAACCACCCCTTGAGAATTTCCAAATAAGGCAAACCATGTGCGACACACTCTTTGTCAGGTTCTCAAACATGGCAATGAACCAAGTGACTGTGAATCCCCCTGTCCCTGTCGCTATTCTCAAATTGAGGGTTTAGGGTTGCATGTTGTTAACATATATTACATGTTATGTTATAAGAATTAAGAGACATTTAAATAAGCAAATCTAAATAATCAAAATCCAAAGGCAATAATCGAAATTGAATCAAATCATAAGAAATAGGAATCATTACACCCCTAACGATTGTTTGGAATACAAAGTTCTACCATCCTGCAAACTTTTTTGAG